GGAATCCAACCGGGGTCTCTTGCATTGCAGGCAGATTCTTTATCAACTGAGCTATCTGGGAAGCCCAATATACAAAGAGACCAAACATCAACAGGAAAGACAACAGAAACAAATTACAGAAATTAAAGCTAATGGAGTTGCCAAACAAGATATTTTAAAATCAAACATCTAAAGAATTTATAGACACAATGAAATATTTTGGATGAAAACTGGAAATTATTTTACAAAGACTCGAAAGAAATTCTAGAACTGAAAAAATATAATAAATTATGAACACAGGGAATGGGTTTAGTTGCTGAACAGACCTCGTTAAGAGAGTTTTTTAAAAGTAGATGATAGGGACTTCCCTGGTGGTCCAGTGGCTGGGACTTGGTGCTCCCAGGGTAGGTGGTCTGGGTTTGATCCCTGGTCAGAAAATTAGATCCAGTATGCTGCAGCTAAGACCCAGTGCAGCTGAATAAATACATACTTTTAAAAAAGCAGATGATAGGTTGGAAGAAAATCGTTACACTGAAGCAAAGTAAGACGAAAGGATAAGAAACATTAAAGAAACAGGACATGGTGAAGAGATTAAACACATACATAATTAGTGCCTCACAAGGAAGAAGAGAGAATAGGACTGAAGCTTTGTAATCCTGACCAGGAGAAGTGCAAAATCACACCTAGGTACACCAAAGGCAAACTGCTAAAAGGATAAATGAAATAAGGAGGTAAAAATAGAGATAATTAAACTGCTGAAACAAAATAACTGATTGCCACCACAATGAAAATATATTTTAGAAATGATGGTGCATTAAAGGCTTTTTATGTGTCTAAGAAATGAAAATTGATTTTTGTCATCACCAATCTGGCACTAAAGGAAGCACTAAAGGGTGTTCTTTAGGCAAAAAGAAAATGATAATAAATGGCCTCTCAGAGATGTAGGAAAGAATAAAGAACAATAAAAAATAGAAATGCACCAGAAAGGTAAATTACCACTGTAAAACAATAAGAGTCTAAACACCCTCAAGAATAACACATAAGATGAAAGAAAGTTAGGAGGAGTTAAAACAGCAGAAGATTCTTTGATTATCAGGGAGGTAGTCAAGATTCTAATATTAGACTTTGATACGTAAAGTCTAAGTAAAATATTAAAGATTAAATTTGAATATATTCTATCATTGGATAATTTTTTTTTGTAAATGTCAGTAGGGCCAAGCTGATTGATAGGGTTGCAGGTTTTCTATAACATTAGTAATCCTCTGTGTGGTGGTTCTGTCAATTAAAATGTTAAAAGTCTCAGAAATTCTCTGGTGGTCCAGTGGTTAAGATTCTGTGCTTTCACTGCCACGGTGTCCAGGGAACTAAGATTCCACAAGCACTCAATGCAGCCAAAATAATAATAGTAATAATAGTAACAAATTTTGAACTCTCTAACTATAGCTGTAAATTTTTAAATTTCTCCTTTCAGTTCTTTCTACTTCTACAACTTTTGCTATGAAAGTGAAAGTGAGTCACTCAAGTCGTATCCGACTCTGTGACCCCACGGACTATACAGTCCATGGAATTCTCCAGGCCAGAATACTGCAGTGGGTAGCCTTTCCCTTCTCCAGGGGATCTTTCCAACCCAGGGATTGAACCGACGTCTATTATGTCTCCTGCATCGCCACCTGGGAAGCCCATTGGGGTAGGTAGTCATTCCCTTCTCCAGGGAATCTTTAAAAATTGAGGTATAGTTGATTTACAACTCCAGCTTTCTCTTTTTTAATGTTTGTAGACTTGTTGATAATGGTCATTCTGATCAGTGTTAAGTGATACTTTATTGTAGCTTTGATTTGCATTTCTTTAATAATTATGTTGTTTCTTTCTCTTTTTTTCTACCTTCTTTAGAAATAATTAAATGTTTTTATGAGTCCATTTTATCTCCATTAAAATTTTAGTTTTTTCGAAAGTCTCTCTCTCTCTCTCTCTCTCTCTATATATATATATATATATATATATATATATATATATATATAACCAATCATAATCTGCCCTCAAAAAAGTTATACTGAATCATACATAGCTTCAGAGCCTAACAACAGCACACTTCTAATTATTCTCTCTCACCTTTTCTGTGGTTTTCATTTTAGTCTTATATTTGCAATAAAACTGCAATCCATTGTTACTGTATTTCATCTTGAAAGAGAATTATCTTTGGAGAGATTAAAAATAAGAATGTCTTTCTATTTATTTTCATTTTAACCATTTCCAGGGATCTTTATTTATTTTTGTAGATCTGTCTTTGTGTATGATACCATATTCTCTAAAACACTCTTATTGAAGAGCTTCCTTTAATATTTCTTACAGTATAGGACTGCTGGTAATGAACTCTGTCACTTTTGTTTTCTAAAATATTCTTTGTCTTCATTTTTGAAAGGTATTTCATCCTGTGTGTAATTCTGGGTTGGCAGTTATTTTCTTTCAGCACATTAAAAATGTCACTGCATTGTCCTCTGGTTTGCACAGTTTCTATGAAGAAGCCTATGGGCTCAATACAGGACAGAAATGGTATGGACCTAACAGAAGCAGAAGATATTAAGAAGAGGTGGCAAGAATACACAGAAGAACTGTACAAAACAGATCTTCACGACCCAGATAATCATGATGGTGTGATCATTCACACTCACCTAGAGCCAGACATCCTGGAATGTGAAGACAAGTGGGCCTTAAGAAGCATCACTCTGAACAAAGCTAGTGGATGTGATGGAATTCCAGTTGAGCTACTTCAAATCCTAAAAGATGATGCTGTGAAAGTGCTGCACTCAACATGTCAGAAAATTTGGAAAACTGAGCAGTGGCTACAGGATAGGAAAAGGTCAGTTTTCATGCCAATCCCAAAGAAAAGTAATGCCAAAGAATGCTCGAACTACCGCACAATTGCACTCATCTCACACGCTATTAAAGCAATGCTCAAAATTCTCAAAGCCAGGCTTCAGCAAAACGTGAACCATGAACTTCCAGACGTTCAAGCTGGTTTTAGAAAAGGCAGAAGAACCAGAGATCAAATTGCCAACATCCAATGGATCATCGAAAAAGCAAGAGAGTTTCAGAAAAACATCTATTTATGCTTTATTGACTATGCCAAAGCCTTTGACTGTGTGGATCACAATGAACTGTGGAAAATTCTGAAGGACGTGGGAATACCAGATCGCCTGACCTGCCTTCCGAGAAACCTGTATGCAGGTCAGTAAGCAACAGTTAGAACTGGACATGGAACAACAGACTGGTTCCAAATAGGAAAAGGAGTGCATCATGGCTGTATATTGTCACCCTGCTTATTTAACTTATATGCAGAGTACATCATGAGAAATGCTAGGCTGGCGGAAGCACAAGCTGGAATCAAGATTGCTGGGAGAAATATCAATAACCTCAGATATGCAGATGACAACAGCCTCATGGCAGAAAGCAAAGAAGAACTAAAGAGCCTCTTGATGAAAGTGAAAGAGGAGAGTGGAAAAGTTGGCTTAAAACTCAACATTCAGAAAACTAAGACCATAGCATCCAGTCCCATCACTTCATGGCAAATAGATGGGGAAACAGTGGAGACAGTGGCTGACTTTATTTTGGGAGGCTCTAAAATCACTGCAGATGTTGATTGCAGCCATGAAATTAAAAGACACTTACTCCTTGGAAGGAAACTTATGACCAACCTAGACAGCATATTAAAAAGCAGAGACATTACGTTGTCCACAAAGGTCCATATAGTCAAGGCTATGGTTTTTCCAGTAGTCGTGTATGGATGTGAGATTTGGACCACAAAGAAAGCTGAGCACTGAAGAATTGATGCTTTTGAACTGTGGTGTTGGAGAAGACCCTTGAGAATCCCTTGGACTGCAAGAAGATCCAACCAGTCCATCCTAAAGGAGATCAGTCCTGGGTGTTCATTGGATGGACTGATGTTGAAGCTGAAACTCCAATATTTTGGACACCTGATGTGAGGAGCTGACTCATTTGAAAAGACCCTCATGCTGGGAAAGATTGAGGGCAGGAGGAGAAGGAGACGACAGAGGAAGAGATGGTTGGATGGCATCACTGACTCAATGGACATGAGTTTGGGTAGACTCTGGGAGTTTGTGATGGACAGGGAGGCCTGGCGTGCTGCGGTTCATGGGGTCACAAGGAGTTGGACACGACTGAGAGACTGAACTGAACTGACTATGATGATAAGGATCAACTAATAGAGAGACAGGAGGCTGGGAAAAAATCAGTTATAAAACCTGTAGCTGTGAGATACCACAGAATATTTAGTATGGCCTGAACTACGATTCTGATGGATGATAAAGTTTACTACAAGAAACGTTAGGATGAAAGATTAGACAATCTGATCTTGGGAATAGGCAGTGAAGGGGAAAGAGATTCAAAGATTACTGCAATTTTCAAGCTAAACTAAGGAAATGATAACATCAACATACACAAAACTAGGAAAATCAACAGAGAAAACCAGTTTTGAAGGAAGACCCCTGATTCATTTATGGGATAAAAGTCAGGCAGTGTGATAGCTTGCCCTCAGGGAACAGCTCGTGAGTCACACTTCTTTTTAAGTAACATATTCTTAATAGGCAAAGAGAAAATATTTAATACATAGTTCTTTGGGAGGAATAAAAGCTGTTACAGCTTTTAACTCTACAATAATTTTACAAGTATCGTTTTAAAAGAAAACTGTTATAATAATACTGAGTTGCTTTTCAAAATAAACTGAAAGAAGGAACAGAACACAAAAATAGAGATGTTCAGTAAAATGTCAGAGATGAAGGAGTGAGGCTACTCAATCCAGTTTGACTGAACGCTCCTTGAGGACAGAAATGATCGGCTGTCTCAGCATCCCCACAGCACTGAGCACAACGAATGACCACTACACAATATTGATACTTAAGTAAGGCTGAATGAACAGACAGAAAAGAGTGAGGGCAAAGACAAGCCAATTAGGAATACCCTACCCAAGCCTCCAGAACCCAACATACCTTAAAGGAGCTAACACTATGGAAGGAGAGTGCTTTAGCCTTATCATCCTGGTTGAAAGGTAGGCTGAGACTGTGGTACCTGGTTTCAGTTCAGTTCAGTTCAGTCACTCAGTCGTGTCTGACTCTTTGTGACCCCATGAATCGCAGCATGCCAGGCCTCCCTGTTCATCACCAACTCCTGGAGTTTACTCAAACCCATGCTCATCGAGTCGGTGATGCCATCCAACCATCTCATCCTCTGATGTATCCTTCTCCTTCTGCCCCCAACCCCTCCCAGCATCAGGGTCTTTTCCATTGAGTCAACTCTTCGCATGAGATGGCCAAAGTATTGGAGTTTCAGCTTCAGCATCAGTCCCTCCAGTGAACACCCAGGACTGATCTCCTTTAGGATGGAATGGTTGGACCTCCTTGCAGTCCAGGGGACTCTTGAGAGTCTTCTCCAACACCAGAGTTCAAAAGCATCAATTCTTCAGTGCTCAGCTTTCTTTATAGTCCAACTCTCACATCCATACATGACCACCAGAAAAACCATAGCCTTGACCAGACAGACCTTTGTGGCAAAGTAATGTCTCTGCTTTTTAATATGCTGTCTAGGTTGGTCATAAGTTTCCTTCCAAGAGCAAGAGTCTTTTAATTTCATGGCTGCAGTCACCATCCGCAATGATTTTGGAGCCCAGAAAAATAAAGTCTGACAATGTTTCCACTGTCTTCCCATCTATTTCCCTTGAGGTGATGGGACCAGATGCCATGATCTTAGTTTTCTGAATGTTAAGCTTTAAGCCAACTTTTTCACTCTCCTCTTTCACTTTCATCAAGAGGCTCTTTAGTTCTTCTTTGCTTCCTGCCATGAGGCTGTTGTCATCTGCATATCTGAGGTTATTGATATTTCTCCCAGCAATCTTGATTCCAGCTTGTGCTTCCTCCAGCCCAGCATTTTTTTCATGATGTACTCTGCATATAAGTTAATAAGCAGGGTGACAATATACAGCCATGATGCACTCCTTTTCCTATTTGGAACAAGTCTGTTGTTCCATGTCCAGTTCTAACTGTTGCTTACTGACCTGCATACAGCTTTCTCAAGAGGCAGGTCAGGTGGTCTGGTATTCCCATCTTTTTAAGAATTTTCCACAGTTTATTGTGATCCACACAGTTGAAGGCTTTGGCATAGTCAATAAAGCATAAATAGATGTTTTTCTGAAACTCTCTTGCTTTTTCGATGATCCATCAGATGTTGGCAATTTGATGTCTGGTTCCTTTGCCTTTTCTAAAACCAGCTTGAACATCTGGAAGTTCATAGTTCATGTTTTGCTGAAGCCTGGCTTTGAGAATTTTGAGCATTGCTTTACTAGCGTGTGAGATGAGTGCAATTGTGCGGTAGTTTGAGCATTCTTTGGGACTGGCATGAAAATTGACCTTTTCCTATCCTGTAGCCACTGCTCAGTTTTCCAAATTTGCTGGCATATTGAGTGCAGCACTTTCACAGCATCATTGTTTAGGATTTGAAATAGCTCAACTGGAATTCCATCACATCCACTAGCTTTGTTCAAAGTGATGCTTTGTAAGGCCCACTTGACTTCACATTCCAGGATATCTGGCTCTAGGTGAGTGATCACACCATTGTGATTATCTGGGTCATGAAGATTTTTTTGTACAGTTCTTCTGTGTATTCTCGCCACTTCTTAATATCTTCTGCTTCTGTTAGGTTCATACCATTTCTGTCCTTTATCGAACCCATCTTTGCATGAAATAGTCCCTTGGTATCTCTAATTTTCTTGAAGAGATCTCTAGTCTTTCCCATTCTGTTGTTTTCTTCTATTTCTTTGCACTGATCACTGAGGAAGGCTTTCTTATCTCTCCTGGCTATTCTTTGGAACTCTGCATTCACATGGGAATATCTTTCCTTTTCTCCTTTGCTTTTAGCTTCTCTTCATTTCACAGCTATTTGTAAGGCCTCCTCAGACGACCATTTTGCCTTTTTGCATTTCTTCTCCATGGGGATGGTCTTTATCCCTGTCTCCTGTACAATGTCACAAACCTCTGTCCACAGTTCATCAGGCTCTCTGTCTATTAGATCTAGTCCTTTAAATCTATTTCTCACTTCCACTGTATAGTCATAAGAGATTTGATTTAGGTCATACCTGAATGGTCCAGTGGTTTTCCCTACTTTCTTCAGTTTAAGTCTGCATTTGGCAATAAGGAGTTCATGATCTGATCCACAGTCAGCTCCTGGTCTTGTTTTTGCTGACTGTATAGAGCTTCTCCATCTTTGGATGCAAAGAATATAATCAATCTGATTTCAGTGTTGACCATCTGGTAATGTCCATGTGTAGAGTCTTCTCTTGTATTGTTGGAAGAGGTTGTTTGCTATGACCAGTGCATTCTCTTTGCAAACCTCTATTAGCCTTTGCCCTGCTTCATTCCATACTCCAAGGCCAAATTTGCCTGTTACTCCAGGTGTTTGTTGACTTCCTACTTTTGCATTCCAGTCCCCTATAAAGAAAAGGATATCTTTTTTGGGTGTTAGTTCTAAAAGGTCTTGTAGGTCTTCATAGAACCGTTCAACTTCAGCTTCTTCAGCATTACTAGTTGGAGTATAGGCTTGGATTACCGTGATATTGAATGGTTTGCCTTGGAAATGAACAGATATCATTCTGTCATTTTTGAGATTGCACCCAAGTACTGCATTTCAGGTTCTTTTGTTGACTGCGATGGCTACTCCATTTCTTCTAAGGGATTCCTGCCCACAGTAGTAGATATAATGGTCATCTGAGTTAAATTCACTCAACAGAAAATGGAAAGGATACCAATTCTCAAGGAAACATACACTGAGTTTCTGCTCCCCACATTACTACCTAATGAGACCATGCCCAACTCTAACCTTTAAGGAAGATAGTAGAATGCAACTTTTTAAGTGTGTGGCTAAAGATATTCAAAGGCATCCTGTCCTTTTAAGCTGTTAAAAAGTCACTGTTTTTGTTGAAAGTGGTTTAAAAGCCTGAATCTCAGTAGGTAGTCCCACCTGGCATACCACTGTTTCTTAAGCCTGTAGAACAGAGAAATGCAAATAGAGCTACTGGTAAAGTGAGATAATTGATGCTCAGGTGTTTCAAGTGGTTGCCAGTGACTGGGCTATGACCTGCAGGTTCCCCCAGGTTCAGATAATTTGGCAGAGTCCCAACTTATCCAATATGGCAACAAAGGGAACAATGAGGCTGCTTTCTAAATGAACTGATCTTATACAAATGTCTTAAGACCACCTCTTTCTCAAGAGGTTAGAACAGAAAAGAAATGCCCAAACAATGGCAGTTGTTGTTCAGTTGCTAAGTAGTATCCAACTCTTTGAGACCCCAAGGACTGCAGCACACCAGGCTTCCCTGTCCTTCATTCTCTCCTGGAGTTTGGTGAAACTCATGTCCATTGCGGAGAAGGCAATGGCAAGCCACTCCAGTACTCTTGGCTGGAAAACCCCATGGACGGAGGAGCCGGGTAGGCTGCAGTCGATGGGGTCTTGGAGAGTCGGACACTACTGAACAATTTCACTTTCAGTTTTCACTTTCATGCAATGGTGAAGGAAATGGCAATCCACTCGTGTTCTTGCCTGGAGAATCCAGGGGATGGGGGAGCCTGGTGGGCCATCGTCTATTGGGTCGCACAGAGTTGGACACGACTGAAGCGACTTAGCAGCAGCAGCAGCATGTCCATTGAGTCGGTGCTGCCATCCAACCATCTCATCCTCTGACGTACCCTTCTCCTTCTGCCCCCAACCCCTCCCAGCATCAGGGTCTTTTCCAATGAGTCAGCTTTTCGTATCAGGTGGCCAAAGTATTGGAGTTTCAGCTTCAGCATCAGTCCTTCCAATGAATATTCAGGGTTGACTTCCTTTAGGATTGACTGGTTTGATCTGCCTGCTGTCCAAGGGACTCTCAAAGAGTCTTCTCCAATACCACAGTTCAGAGGTAGAATAAAATAACAGTTCAGAGCTCATGCTCTGGCATCATACAGACAGGGGTTAAATCCCAGTTCTTCCAGTAAACAACTGCATAACCATATCTTTTAACATATTCCTATTATGCAAAGTAGGATCGATTACCTTCCTTAAGATTTAAATATATGGTAATTTCATATTTTAGTATGTTCCCTCCTAAAACTACACCATGACCCATTTGATTGGACCTGCATTTTCCTTACAAGCCTCAGTCAGTAATCTTTAGTGAAGAGCTTTCTAGATGGATGACCTCAATTATTGTGCTTTGAATCTGCAATTTCCCTCTCTGAGAACCACTTTATTTTGAAGTTCTGGTTCTTCAACCCATGCCCTGGGCTTCATCAGTGCAAGTGAAGAACAGGAGGAGAAAAAACAAAGACAGTCGAATTATAAGTAGAACTTACAAACTTTGTAGTTGTGTAAACTTAAAATGGATGCTTTCTTTAAAAATCACAAATTCTGTACAACCTATTAGCAATAATTTTAAAAAGTGTTCGTACATGTAGGAGGCCCAGGGAGGTACCCTGCCTGTGTTCAGGACCCCCACTTCCCTCTCTCAACTCAGGAATCTTTCTGTATGTTGTAGTGGAATCTGTGGTGTAGTGGGAAACAGAAGAGGGAAAAATTCCACAGATTCTTCATTTGCACTTGGTCTCCTTTAGAACCATTACTACTCTCCTAGTTCAGGCAGTAAAGACTAAGTCCCAACCAGTTTCAACTCCCTTACAATCCTTCACCAAATTAAATCCTGCACCAAATTAAATCCTAAACTAGCAGTCTTCATGAAGATCCCTTCCCACCTCAGAAACTCTTAATGGCTCCCTACCTTTTATTCACTAGAAACAGCCCAACTCAAATCCAAAGGCCAGGCTAACATCATCCTACTTTTATAGTACAGTACTTGTTTTCTCCTAATTTCCTGAAGGAAATTCTTTAAGGCTCTGACTAATCTGCTCATTGTGCTCCCAACAGACACCTGCACACCCAGGAAAGATTACACCCATCCTCACACACCTTTCCTTCAAAGGCCAGCCCAGACCGCTCCCCCCAACCCCCGCATCTTTGCCCCGCAAC